TACATATATATATATATCAAGTTTCAATATTTAATATTCTGTTAGAGAGTAAGTTTTGATAAATTAAAGTAGAATTAATTAAAAAATATGAAGCTGGGAAAAGAAAGTTAAAGTTAATAAATTAAAGAAAGTTAAAGTTAATAAATTAAAGTAGAATTAATTAAAAAATATGAAGCTGGGAAAAGAAGTTAAAATACATAGAATAGATTAAAAAAAAATTTTTTTTTTCATATATATATATATATATTTTTGTATTTTACAGATCAATATTGTGTGCTACAACTTTGCTGTTATACATCGTATTAGTGAGTGCTAAATTATTTTTTATTTTAATGTCGAGATTGAATTTGTATGAAAATTTATATCTAGGAAAAACGAGTATATATTTATATGTATATATATGTATATGATGTTCTCAAATCGAATTTTGTTACGTTGAAAAGAACATACGTTGATTATTCCACATGCTTTTCGATATTTATCGTCCGAGCGACGAGATACGTAAAAAAAAAAAAATGGAGCTGTCGATCTATTTATTGAATCGTATATTTGCGTTCAATTTAAGTCATAGATCCACTCGCATAGCAGATAAGGGGCAGATATGGACGCGCGGCGATAATGTAAATGCGATAACAGCAAGCGGAATTTCTACTGCACGGCTCGACTGAAGGATGTGATTAATTTGAAATCGTTCCACATATCGAACAGTTCGTTTATAAATAAAGAGATGACTTTTATATTTTTATCTGCCTATAAAACATCATATGCGATGTTGACGTCGAAAGCGAGACGCTGCGAGATTCTAGGACGGATGTGTTTCTCTGAAAATGTTCCTCTCGTAAATCCGAACCTTAGCACCGCGTGAGCGGCCTAAATTCTTCTTTCTTTGCTTCTCGTCTCGTTCGCCCTCTTATTGTCGAGAAAACCATTGTCTCCAAAACCGATCTCTGCTTACCCTCTCGAGTCCTCTCCGTAACAAACAAGGTAACAGGATACAAGTACTCCGAATCCCTCCATTCGTAACCTGCTCCTTCTGATCATTCTTTCTCCTTCTCTCTGTCTCGCGTGAACCCGTGCGCGCTTTTTTTTTTTCTTTATTTCCTTTTGCCCGCTTCCTTTCGAGCTATGTGCTCTCTTTCCTCGTCGGGTCGAGATCGGCTTCCACCAGCTTGTCGAGCGATTTATTGCCCGACCGCTCTACCACAAACACAGGACTGTTTAGCCCCGTTTTCTATCTCGTAAAGGGTAGAATAGGTAGGTAGGTAGAGGATCGGTGCGGAACAAGAAGGGACGAAAAAAGATGAGGGACGCGAGAAAGGCAAAGCAATACTAGGCGAGAAAAGTGGATTGTGGTCGTGTACATGTGGCCGCAAAAATGCCGACCAGCCAGTTTTTGTATGTCGTTCCGAAGAAACATTCTTGAAAAATTTATACGTTCTTTAATTAATGATTATTAATGTTTCCGCGCGAGTTCTTGAAACGCGTGCACGCCCGCGTGGTGTGCAAGCGCGCTGTATCGTAACTTTTTTTAATTAGGCATTACACACAGACACCGATAATATCCGCGAATTAAAATAATTTTATAATCGACGACGCCATTAGCGCGGTACGCAAGGTTAATGATCCCCGCTGCATTAATGCCTCGCGGAAAGCGCGATTTCGTTCCACCGCAGCAGAGTGCGAGATAAAATTTTTAATAGCGATATAATTGTACGTGCGAATCTCCGATTTACATCCGATGGAGGAGAATGAAAAAAACAAACGGATTACCGAGAAAAAAGGAAAGAAAGAGAGAGGTTTGCGCGATTTAATCGCGTCTCTATCTCGCGCGACGATATTTTATAATGTCACAAGGGGACGGTAGGCAGTTGCCTGTCG